ACACACACACACACACACACACACACACACACACACACACACACACACACACACACACACACACACACACACACACACACACACCATGGAAGAGAACAGGCAAAAAGGATAAGAGTATAGGATTGAGCAGAGAATCAAGTGTACATGAGGATGTATCCACATGACCAAGGGTCCCAGGACTAAAGCTTAAAGTCTCCAGAGAGAAACCAGAGGAGACAGACTGGCCAGATTACCATAGGCAAGGATGTACTGGGCTATGTATGTATGTTTGTGTGCATTCGTGGGTGTATAAGTTTATAAATACAAGCTGCTGAGATCATTTAGTGTTGTTTATGTGTTTAGGGCTGAACTACTGGGATTAGCTAACTTCTCATGGGGCTTGTCCCTGAAGAGGACTGATTTACCTTCTTCCAGCAATCATCTTCCTCTAGGAGTGAAGCCCCATGAGAAGTCTCCAATTCACATGGGCATGTCAGCAGGTTTGCAGTGAAGGACTCATGGAAGGAGGTATAGCTCTCTCTTCAAGGAAACACCCAATTCTAACTCTCACATACTCCTCACCAGAGGACAGATAGGTGAGAACTACTGGTATCTTGGGCCTTCACTAAGGGTAACATGCCATAAAGCCTGTTCAAGAATGTGCATTGTGAAACTTGCTGGGTCATTCAGAGCTAGGCTGAAGCAGAAGTCCAGGAACATGATCTACTGTAGAGGGTAGAAGGGGAAATATCTTCACAGATGTGCCGGTCCTTTATTTACTATCTCATCTAACATCCTAAGGCTTTGGAGTCCCCAGGCCAGGGTCCATCTTAGATTCCCTTTCTATATCTGACAACCAAAATTCAGGCCCCTCAAGGCCACAGCCTTGGGAAGATACAAAGACATTTGGTATGGTAGGATGTGGGGAGGGGGGGTATTTAAAAACTTCTGATTATCTGGGACTCAGCATCCACTCATTTGAATGTATAGTCAACTTTCCATGAGTTCTGGACACAGATTCAACTAACTATCGATTGTACAACTCAACAATAAAACCACAATGACCAGAGTTAGGCATTTCTCAAAAGAGGATATATACATGGACAATAGGTACATTAAAAAATGGTTCAACGTCACTAATAATCAAGAGGTAGAGGCATGAGGATTACAAGCCTGAGACCAGCCAAAGATTCATAATGGAGCCGGGCGGTGGTGGCGCACGCCTTTGATCCCAGCACTCAGGAGGCAGAGGCAGGCAGATCTCTGTGAGTTCGAGACCAGCCTGGTCTACAAGAGCTAGTTCCAGGACAGGCTCCAAAGCCACAGGGAAACCCTGTCTCGAACCCTCCCCCCAAAAAAAGATTCATAATGGAAGCAGGAGGATTACAAAATTTAGTACAGCCTGGGCTACATATAGTGAGAGCTCCCTGTCTCAAGGGAAAAAAGTAGGTGCTGGAAAGATGGTTCAGGGGTAAAAGGCACTTGAAATCCTAGTAACCTGAGTCCAATCCCTGGAAACCACATAAACGTGGAAGCAAAGACCAACTCCATAAAGTTGTCCTTTGACCTCCACACACCTTCACACAAATATTTTTAAAAGATCAAAATATAACACCAATCATAAAGAAATAGAAAACTGAACAGTGATTGCCAAGGCCTGAGAAATGGGAAGATAATAAATCAAGGGTCACATATGGAAATAGGAATAACTTGCAGTGGTCTATAGGGTGACTAGAAACTGTGCTTAACAACAATTGACTATATATTTCAAAATAGTTAGTAGGATTTTGAATATTCTGAACATAAAGATTAAATCCCTGAGAGTTTGAGGCCAGCCTGATCTACAAAAGCTATTTCCAGGATAGGCTCCAAAGCTATAAAGAGAAACCTTGTCTCAAAAAATGAGAGAGAGAGAGAGAGGGAGAGAGGGAGAGAGAGAGAGAGAGAGAGAGATTGAGATTGTATTGCTCTTGCAGAAGACCTAAGTTCAGTTCCTAGCACCCATGCTGGGTGGCTCATAACCATCTGTGACACAAGCACCAGGGAATCTGACCCATTTCTAGTCTCCATCAGCACCTGAACTTGTGTGTGTGTGTGTGTTTGTGTGTGCGCCCGCGTGCATGCGTGTGTGTATAGGCAGGCACACAGTTAAAAAGAATTTTAAAATAGAAAGAAATGAAAATACTTAGGGAAAAGTTACATGTTGATCACAGATTTTCCTCGTCAGCATTCCTTAAAGAGTACAGTATAACACCATAGCATGATATTTACACTGAAGCATTATTATAAGTAATAAAGGTGATTCAAAGTACAGTGGAGTGTCGAATATGCTATATACAAATATTATACCATTGTATTTGGAGGGATTGAGTGTGTTTGGCTTTTGGTAGTCTAGAAAGGAGGCTTCTGAAAGCCATCAAAAGGCTAGATGGTTTGACATCTTGGTGGGTAGCTGAAGAGTACATCAGAGGAGCTGTTGGTGAAGAGGAGGTTTGCTTCTGAACTAATCACGTGTTCCTCAAAACTTGGCTGCTTCAGAACACGTGGCTTCATGATGTATCTTGGTTGCTGTCAATCTTGGAACTGCTGTGTACTTGTTTGAGTTAACAGCTGGAAGTTTCTAATCAAATGAGAGCCTATCTCAAGGGCTGGAGATGACTCCATTGCCCCTTATTGTGCTCAGTATAGCTTGCTACTTACTGTTCTACTCTTATTTCCCTATTTCTATAAGACTCAACTATTTTATTCTTTTATATGTATTTGTTTTTCTTTTGGATGTAGTGTTTTATCCTTTTAGCTTATTTTACACATATTTGTGTGGGACATGTATGCATTCATTTGAATGGGTGTATTTGTGGCATGCATGCATGTATGTACATGTGCATGTGGAGGCCAGAGGCTGATATTGGGTATCTTCCATGATCAACCTCTATTTATCTGTCTATCCATGAATTCATTCATTCATTTATTTGGAGACAGGGTCCCACTATGTAGCCCTGGCTGGCCTGGAATTCATGGCAATCTCCTTGTCCCTGCCTCCTGTATGTTGGGATTAAAGGCACGTATCACCATGCCCAGCACTTCACACTGAACCTGGAATTCATCAAGTTAGCTAACTTGTTGGCCAATGAGTTTCCTAGCAGTGGCATTACAGATGCATTCAGCAAAGCTCAGGTTTTACATGGGTTCAGGGGATCTGAACTCAGGTCCTCTTGCTTGCATGGCAGGCAGTTTACTGAATAAGCAATCACCACAGCCTTTTAGCCTTTCATTTCTAAAAGTATTTTTTTACAGAAAGCTGTAACATTTATTTTCACATTATTACCATTCAAAACCAGTATGATTGAAGGTATATTCCCTCTGATTGAATTGTTTTTTTTTAATTTCCATATAACGTATCTTGTCCCATTTTTCTGTTTTCCCTAACTCCCCCACCAATATCCTCCTTCCCTACCTAACAAACTTCATTTAAAAAACTGTTTATTTTTAATTTGGAGAAGAGGAAAATATGGCTAAAATATATAAAGAAACACTTCAATGAAATGAAAACAAACCATTTTTATAGGTAAACAGA